TGCAGGTGCGACGCGAACGGTTAGGGGTCTGCGATAATCTCAACTTACAGGACCAGCCGTCCATTCCTACGTGCACTGTTCAGTCGGATCACCGCCCTTCTGCAGCGCCTCCATAGCGACGCTCCCCGACGCAAAGCCCGCCCCCTGCACGCGCTGACACACCATTTCCGCGCTCGCTTCCCACGGAGCAAGATGGCAGAGGAGCCGGAATCAGTGCTGCAGCTCTCTCCTGCAACGGCTGCTGAAGGCGAAGGACCTACCGAGGTCTCTCCAGAAACAGCCACTCCGGAGCCCCCTTCTTCTGCTGCAGTCTCCCCGGGAACAGAGGAACCGGCCGGCGACACCAAGAAAAAAAGTAATTTGGAAAGCAATTTGTTAGTGGGCTGAAATGGGGTTGCGACCGGCTAGGGATCGGGGCCCGCACAGAAGCAACATTTAGAGGAGGGCCCCGCCCCAGATGCTTCTGCCCAGTAAGTAGAGAAAAAGTGCACTTCTAGGCTTTCAAGACCTTTTAATTGCGTGTTTTTCAAGAACACCATCTCTGGCCCTTTGCGCTGTATTGCCCGGTAGGAGGAGCCGAGTCTCGGTAGCTGCAAGTAAATAGCAATGGAGCTAATTATTTGAATAATAATTTTAAGTGATAGATATGGCCGTTGTTACAGTCTGCATTAGAACCCAGACCTTCCGATCGGTTAGCTTTTTTTTTTTATGTCCATTGCCTGTAAATTCACTCGTTAGATCAAAAAACTTAAAAATGGAATTTTATCAAATAAGGAGAGGGCTAAAGGCGTAGGCATTTTTCAAGATTATTTCAGAAACTTTGTAAACTAATCATTTCACGGAACTACTTGTCCTCAACCTTTTTAATGCTCGACAATCCGTTCGACGTTGTAAAATACAGAAATTCCAAATGTTACATGACCTACCTCGAAATTCTATGTAGAGTTGCCTATGAGAAAAGATGCAACACAGGTTTTTTTCAAGAGGTTGATCCTGGGCCCCAGAATTTTGCTCCTTGAGTCTTTAGGTATATGTATGGCACATTTTATGCTGGGTGAGCTCACCTGCTTTTATGGAACTTAAAAGAGGAAAGTGGAGTTGGGATAGGAACTTAAGTTTCTGCGCCTGTAGAAGATAATTGCCCCTCCTAGCAATGTCCACTTTTAAGTCAGACTTTTCTCTACATTTGGGGGAAATGTGTTGTTTCTACGTGATGCACTGAAAGAGAAATAAACACTGATTTTTTTTTTTAAGATGTATTTATGCATACAGATCTGGGATTCAGAGGTGCAAGGTAGGTGAAAAGATTCACCAGAGATGGAGTGGGGAGAACAGGCAGGCTGACTAACTACACTGCTGAGGGGACAATAGGAGGGTCGGCAGAGGTCTGCCTGGCTGTGTTGGTCATCTGCCCTGTGGGGATCGAACTGGTGCTGAAGTGGCTGCAGCTGGCTTGCTGTGCTGTGCTTTAATCCATTGTGCCACCAGGAAGGACCTGATTGTTATTTTTATAAATAACCTCTACTTCTCTCTTCACAAGAATCCCGTGAGTTTTACAGATTTTTGTTCCCCTTTTTCAAAGGGGTTAAGTTCTCTGACTTAATCAAAAGTTTATTACTGGACCCCAAAAATAGCTTTGTGAAACAAAGGCTTAAAAGTAATGGCTCACAACCTAAGTATGGCCTGAGGTTATGTGGCATGTAGTGTTTTGTTGCAACAGTTTGTGTATTTTAGCCAATATTTAACAACTGGATAGTCATTGGTAGTTCTATTGAGTAGTTGGGTTTGTCTCACATAAAATTTAATTTCAAGGTACTGAATTTCAACCCAGAAATTGTCCTTTTTTTTAGCGAGGGAACCAACTTCTTATAAGGGAAGATTAAAATAATTTCATGTACTCCACCTTTGGTTTAATCAATGAAGCAGATAGACTACGGCTGTTGTCAGTATGGGTCCCAACACCTACTTCCAAAAAGGTCTTGATATGTACATTTGTATTCTTATAAATATCCCCCCAGTTGATTCTAATGCATTGTTAAAATTGAGAACCTCAAGCAGCTCACCTTTTGAAATTTTTTTAAAGATACAGCTATAATTACAATAAATACTTAGTCTTCTCAGTATTCTTGTCTACCATCACTTCCCTTAGCAGTAGTAAAATTCATATTTTCTATTTCACTTTTTGAAATGCCCAAGTCCTCGATATCCAGGGATTGAGGGAGCAGGAAAGGGAAAGTACAGAAAGTAAAACCCCCTCAGTTGTCTTCCTTTCCATCCCTATTGTGTAGATAACAAGTAATTATGAAGTGAAGGATGGATGACAGACTTTAGCAGCATGTATTTTAGGCCTGAATGTGAATGCATTGATCTTAGTGACCCATGGGATCTCAACGTTCAATATTAAAAACTGGGATAAAAAAGATGTCATAGGGCCCTCCCTGATGACACATGGGGTTAAAGCACAGCGCTGTGAAGCTGGCTGCAGTCACTACAGCATGAGTTGGATCACTGGCCAGGGAGTGACCCAAATGGCACAGCAGACCTCTCCTGACCCGCCCGCTGCTCCCCTCAGCAGTGTATTTCAGTCAGTTTGCCTGTTCTGCTCCCCACTCCGTCTCTGGCGAATCCTCTCACACACACACCCCACCCCCATCTCTGGTCTGTACCCCATAAATAAATAAATCTTTTTTTTTTTAAATGATGTTATAAAGTAGAGTTAACTTTAGGGGGCAGCAGTATGCTGCTTTTCAGTGGTGCTTTGATTATAGTTCATCTGGTGGACAGACATACTAAGTACTTCAGGAAGGTACTTAATAGTCTGAGTGTGCAGTTTTGTATTTTGTATTATTGAAGCCTTGTGACTTCTCTGTCTAAATACTTTTTGGCCCCTGCTTATTGTGTTTTCTTTTTAAAACTTTTTACCAGTTTTCTTTATTAAAAAATTGATGGTCGGACCTCCCTGGTGGTGCAAGGGGTTAAGTCTCAACACTGTCAAGCTGTTGGCAGCCACTGCAGCATGAGTTCCATCCCTGGCCAGCCAGGTGATCCACAGGACACAGCAGACCTCTCCTGACCCACCCACTGCTCCCTTCAGCAGTGTATTTCAATAAATCTGCTTGTTCTGCTCCCCACTCTGTCTCTGGTGAATCCTTTCACCCCCCACACCTCTGGCCTCCACCCCATCTCTTGTATGCATAAACAAATAAAAAACAAAAGCAGTCATTAAAAAAATAAAGTTTATTGTAGAAAAACTTGGTGGTTACAAAAAGCACAAGTGGAAAAAAGGTGTATGCTGTAATGCTACTCCAGCGACATCACTTCGGCGCATATTCCACATCTGTATGACTGTGCTTGTGCTGGTTTTAATGCGGTTAAGATTACATTGTGTGTATATTGCATAACACACTTTGGTAATATTTCACAGCTTAATGTTCAGCAGGTATGAGTTATGAACTAGTGCTGTTCTAAGTACTTCATATGGTGTTGACTCATTTAACCCTCCTAACAACTCCTCACTTTACAAGCTGGCAAAGATTTAAAAACTTGTTCATATAGCAAGTGACAGAGCTAGAATTTTCAGCCCAGGGAATTTAGAATGTATGTTTAGTACAGTTGGTAAATTATATAGTACATGGTGATACTCTGATTAACCAATCCCCTCAAGCACCCTTTTTGGATATTTAGGTTTGCCAATTTTTTCTGTCAAAATAAAGTTTATGTGAAGGCAAACCCTTTCTAAGTTTATCTTGAACTCATGGTCTTGCTTCCTAGCAGTACTGTTGAGTCAAAGTCCATCTTTAATATTTGGCTATGTATTATTCTGTTACTCTCCAGAAAGTACATATCATTTTGTATTCCCAGTAGTATTATCTCTACATTGTTATCTTTATCTTACTGGTTTGGTTGGTGACAAGGACATTATGTTGTTTCATATACATCTTTATCTACCATGTATATTTCTTCTCTTTGGAGTTGCCTATTATAATTTTGGGCATACGTCCAGTATCATCAATACATAAACTGTATGAAAGGTTCAAGTTCTGTGAAATCTTATGTCATGTTCTTTCTCGTTATTTCAGTTTAATTGTCAGCATTGTTTTTTTAACAGTTGACATCCTGCTGAAGGCTGTGGGAGACACCCCTATCATGAAAACCAAAAAGTGGGCTGTAGAGCGAACCCGAACTATCCAAGGACTCATTGACTTCATCAAAAAATTCCTTAAACTTGTGGCCTCGGAACAATTGGTATGAAACCAGTGGTGACCATTTTCCTATAGAAGTTAACAGTAATTCCAAGATAACAGTCATTGGATAGAGAAATGCATCGGGAACTATACATTACTTCACTAGTACACTTATATTTGTCTTATGAATCTGTTTTATATATATATATAAACCGATTGTTTTTAATCTCTTACTGTTCTCCTCAAAAAAGTCACTAAATGTTCAGACAGTGCTCTCTTAGCACATTAATGAAGAGAAGGTTTTTTTTGTTGTTGAGGGGAGTTATTTTGTTTTGACATCAGTATTGCCTCCTTCCCATTCTTGAGGTAAACAGTATAGCTTTGTCGTATGTCATGGAAGAACTAAGATACATGAGTCACATTTTAAGCACTAAAGGGTAGCAGACTTAAGCCTTGTTCTCTTCACTGTCGCTGGTTTATAATTTGTTTTTTGACTACAGAAATTTGTCTCTGTACTCGTGTTTTGTCATTTTTTTGATTAATTTAGCAGACACCTTTATCTATACATCTTAATCTTGGTCGATAATAACACAGTATATGAGAGAATATATAGTTGAAGAATCACTAAGTATTTTTTTACATACAAATTTGTATGTATAAACATTGAGGAGGGAATATATTTGTTTGAGTATACAGGAATGAGACTGGGTAAAAGGAACTGGTTATTAAAGGGATGCCATTTATTTCTTTTTGTCAGTGAGGAAGCAGAAACTGCCTAAGAGTAATGACTTCACAGAAGTGACATAAATGCAAAATAGGTCAACTACTAGAAGTTATTTCAGAGTAACAAAGTCAAGGCTTCCTCCAAAGGAAGTTGTCCAGAAATAGTGTTGGAGATAATTGAGTTTTGCAAATGAACTTCATGAGTGAGTGAGAAAAGCATCTGTTTTCTAAAGAATGCTGTGCAAAATTTAAATGTTAGAGATGGGCAATGGTGTCATCCAAATGCATAGTCGCTAGAATCTCAGGAACAGAGTACAAGACTACGTGAAAATGTCAGGGAAGTGAGGACACGTATGTGAAAGGAGGGAGCAGAGGCTTTATCCCTATTTCAGGTGCCTCATCAGAAGTTGGAGAGGTATGAAACCATAGGAGTATCAGTTAATTTAAGGCATTTTAGAAATTTGGAGATACAGAAATTTATAAATAGAATAAAAGATAAAGTGAGTCTATGTTAATATAACAGTGTTAACCATTTTATAGGCCTCACATCTAGTAATGAGAAGAGTCTTGATTTATATTGATTATGTATTAGGTTGAACATTGTAAAATTGCCTTTGACCAATCATTTAACCAAAAAACACAAGTTTCATGTGGTTCAAATTTTAACCATTGTAATGAACTTGACTATCCCTTTCCATTTAAGCCATAGGAAACAAACAAAAGTAGAATCATTTATCTAGACTAAGCTAGAACTCAAGTCTTCTGAATTACTGCCTAGCTTGCCCCACCTTTTTTTAAGCAAAAGGTTTGTTGAAGAAAATAGTTACGCTAGAGTTTCTGGCAAGATAGCAGTGGTCCATAGGTTGTAGCATGATCCCCCAATTCCCACAAAAACATAGTAAACAGTAACAAAAACATCAGTATTTATAGGAAAACTAGATGACAGAGTACCCTACTGAACCCTCAAATGAAAGTTGATGGGGAATGAACCAGCAAGAAGCACAAAATCTGCATGATTAGCAAATGTGGTGGATAAAGCATGAGAACGACAGAGTTGACATCTGACAGCACCAAGAAAATGAGACTGAAAAATAATTCCTAGCAGTTACTCACCGGAAAGTGCAGTGAGCCAGTTTTTAGAACTGCAGCTCACTATGAGTTTGTTCTCTGCAGTGGAGGGTGATTACCTGCCTGCTCTAAAGATGACTGAAGCGCTGCATTGCCAAGCCTCTGAAAGCCGTCAGAATGACTCTGTGGGGCCCTGGTTCAGGACAAGACCCCCACACTGAGGAGGAACTTCTGGAAGCGATATACAATGGTGCATGGTAGGAATAGGCGATGGGAAGGAAAGAGAAAGCTCCAGAGAGGAAGGGTAAGAACCTGGAAAGCTGAGAGGCCTCCAGATTGTTGAGCACTACTTGCAAAACAACAGGAGAGGGAGCTCTGGAGTCAGGAAAACCAGAAGAGGAAGAAAATAACATAACCTATGAAAACAGATAACAGAATATTATCAAGGTCAAATCCCAAGTAAAAACAGTATCGTACCTGAAGGCAACAAAAGCACACGAGATAAATATGCCTATAAGACAGGTCAGTAACTTATTTCACAACAAGCCAAAAGGTATTTTTTGAGTGATTCAAGACTTGATGAAATTAGATCAGCTTTGGCAAAACTGTAATGAAGTGACAGAGCTCAGGAAAAGAGTTACAGATTAAAATTATTTCAGAAATGGAAACTAACCCGGAAGGAAGTTAAAAACAACAGATAATGCCTTAAGAAAAATAGAAGAGAACAAAAGGAGTTGTTAAAATAAGAAAGACATGAAGGGCAGAAAAAAGGTTTGTGAGAAAGTAACATTGAGTAAGTATGAACAATGATAGTGAACATCAGGGTAACGGCATCCCTGAAGAAGAACCAAAGCAATAATTCAAAGGCGATTTCTTTTAAAACATTTTGAATTACATTGAAAAGATTATACCAAGTACCTGAGAAGACCATCCCAGAATAACAAGCACCAAAGTATATTCTGGTAAATTTACTAGATGTGACGTAAAAAATATTCTTTGGACTTGTGAAGGGGAGGGGAAGAAAACATGACTTGGAAAAATAAAATAAGATTATCTTCAAGCTTGAGCAATGAAGATGAAAGTTAAGTATAAGACAAGAATTTTTATATATAACAAAACAACTGAGAGACCTTTTTAATAACTAAATATCAACAAAGACTGGTCATTTTAAAATGAAATTATTGTTTAATAGTAAAATAATGTTGCCTTCCCAAGTTCTAGCATATAACAAAAATTTACATATTGCAAACTTGCTTCCATGAAATCTTAAGATATTTGAATTTTTTCAGAAAGTCAATTTCAGTTGCTAATTTTTATTACAGAATCACATTGAGTTGCTGTGGTGCTCAACTTCATCTCTTCTGTTCCCTCAACACGCCATTTTCTTTCATCCCTTTTTCCTACAGTGTCCAAATTACTACTTTCTTTACCCAGTTAAATCCTGTTTTACCCCTCAGGTACCTTCCAGGAAACTCTCCCCAACCTTTTTACTGGGCTAAAGTAATGCCACCTCTGTTTTCTAAGATGCACTTTTACTTCTATATCCCTGTCTGTTCACATATGTCCACTTCCCCAGTTGGTTGAGAACTCAGTGATGAGTTCAATATTCTTAGTTCCATATCTTGTACAGTTCCTAGAATATAACAGTCATCAAGTGTTCACAGAAATAAACTATCATCCAGAGCCCTTGTGATTAAAAAGGTATGGAAAGAGTAAACTATGTCATTTCATAAACTGCCAGAAACCAAACACAAATTATTAGCTCTGTATTACAGGAAATGCATGTTAAAATGCACACTGATTTCTAGGGAGTTTATGAAATTTTTATATCTTTAGATATAAACTTGATACTTAAGCTCGAACTGTTTGTAAGTAACTCAGTTATAACTAAGGTCTAGTGCGTACTCCCACTAGGCCCATAACTTGCCGTGGCCTAGCTCATCTTTCCCATCAGCCTCAGGAGATAATAGGTGCCATTAATTTGTTAGGTTACTAGTAAAGGAAACAGGCTGGGGAAAATTATTGTAAGCCAGGATTCAAAGCAGATCTGTCTCAGTAAATTCAGTATTCTTAATGACCACAATTGTCTTGCCTAAGAGAAAAACAATAGTCTATAATAGTGACGCAAATTGTATTTTCCCGCTAACTATTCTGAAACTGAGTTTTTTGTGGGATTTTGTTTTTGATTATTCGGTTTTTGGGTAAGACAAGGTATGGCCCACGAAATTTTAAAATTTGATTAAAGAGAAAATTGAATATTTGCAAAATAATATTTTCTAAAAAAGAAAATCATCAAAAGCCAGCTTGACACTGGCATTCATTTTGGTAGCTCAGCAATTTAAGTACTAAAAATGTTTCAGTAAAAGAATCTGAACTGAAACATTGAACAGTGAAATCTTTGAAGCTAAGATTGTAAGGACATTGTTTCATGCTACCTTTTTTTGTTTTTCATTTGGCTGCAAGTGACTTTACATTAGTGGCTTCCAGCCTGAAGTTTAGTTCCTTTGAGAGCTATCAAAGGTGGGAAAGGTAAAAAAAAAAAATTTTGATCCAACTATGTTTTCTCATTTAAGAAAACCACATGGGTTATCTCAAATATTTCTTTATTTCAGACCACACATATGAGATGTCAGAAATCATGAGCAAACTGAATGTTTTTAATTATGTAATTTCTTGAATAAAACTTCAAAAGCTGTTTGTAAATATAGTACTTAAAAATTGGGGACCTTTGTTGGAGGAACAAGAATTTCATTGTTTTTATTCTTCCTGAGTAAATATATAATCTTTATAGAGAGCTCATTAATTGACTGATTTAGGAACAGTAAAAGGACTCTAGACAAGCCTTCTTCAATTTGAAATAGGTTACTCATTGGAACAGAGAAAAAATCGAATATAATCAGGATACCATTAAAAATGATTCACCATAAAGGGAGGGAAATGCACGGGACTATGGTGGTGGCACAGGGGTGATTTGGTGATGGGAAACCCGTGGGGATTACAATTGAGATGAAAAAAAAATGTGCAAAATGATGTAAAAATAAACTTTAAAAAAAAAATGATTCACCATAATTTTTCTTTTTTTGCAGTTTATTTATGTAAATCAGTCCTTTGCTCCCTCTCCAGATCAGGAAGTGGGAACCCTCTATGAGGTAAAATATTACTGCTTTATTTTTTTAATGGAATAAACAAACCTGACTATAATATTTTCAATCCATATCATTTTAAGAGATAATATGCCACTCTTAATTGTCTTACCAGAAAATAAATCACTCTCTTGTTCTGCTTTATATTTAACACCCTGAATGTAGTTGGAGCCCAGTAAGTTATGCAGATATTAAGGAATTATGAATAATACAAGCTGATGATAACCTTGGTGTATACCCAGAAAGCAAGATCTTTGTTTACATCTAGTTTTTTCTACATTGTTTATGTAATCAGTAATCCAGATTGTGTGCAGGTAGTGAAAAGGAGACTACATAGTGAGCTTATTCAGCATTTTTAGTTTCTTGGAATAGATCAAAGTATATGTAGTAGCAAGAAAGAGTATAAACATTACAGCTAGAAACACAGAGAAGGAGCTAGACTGGTGCAAAATGCATCCTTGCCACTAGATGCTAGGACAGGTTTTTGTAGTAGCATAGTTACTGTTAAGTTCAGTAATGATTTACATTTGTTGAAATTTGTTTTGTAGAAACAGACGTGTGAAGATTTTTATGATCCAACATTGACTTCATTAAGAATAACAAAGATGACTTATTGCCATTTTTCTTTTCGCAGTGCTTTGGCAGTGATGGTAAGCTCGTCCTCCATTACTGCAAATCACAGGCATGGGGCTGAACTACAAAGAAAAAGATCTTGCTAACTTAAAATGAATCTTCACAAAAGAAAACAGCTCTGAAAGTTTTGTTACTTCTGACAAGTCTTATGGATATGATCTACTCAGCATGTATCTCCTATGACCCCTATTTATTCATAAGAAAAAAGTGCATAGAGTGGATGAACTCACAAAATGTGATTCTGTATTAATACACAAATCATCATAAAATACTGGCCTTCCTGTATGCCCATTCTTACAGCTATTGCTTTAGGTGAGTCACCGAAGTATTGAAAAGACAGGACGGTTATAAAGCTTCCAGCAGAGAGCAGCCCAGCTGGCAGACAGCATTAAGCTATTTGGTATTAATGTTTTGCCAGATGATAATGAAGGGGAAAAGCTGCCATGCTAATTTCTAGCAAATATCTATCCAAAAGAGCAGGCTTGTTGACACATTAGAAGCTGCTTTAGAAAATATGCATGGTTTCGATTTATTTTATTGGAAATCAAGGAATTTTACAAATTCTGGACAAGTGTCTTACAGCTCTTTTTAAAAAGAGCTGTAAATCATTTACCGATTCTTGAGAACCGGTGGTTATAACTGTGGTATTGTCTGTTGTTTTTTACAGTGTCAAAAGTACTTGATTAATAAGCCTGATAGTATCTTTGAGTTTTTTTATATTGCACTTTCCAAGTTGAAAACATGAACATAATAATTGAAAGATAGCTTTAGATTTTATTTTATGCATATTTCATGCCAGGACTAAAAGAGTGCCTTTTTTTTCTTTGGGGATGATAAATTTGTGTGATTTTCTTTCATTTCAGTAAATGTAATGCTCTAGTGTTATCAATAAAAGTACTATTTTTTTTGGTTCTTTATTAGAGTGGCAGTCAACTTGAAGTGAGATTAACTTTTTTCATTCATTCTGTATTTGTAATGCTACATACAAAAATATTCTAGTAAATTGACCAGATTGTCCAAACAGGATCTAAATGTGGTAATGGAAATGGTATGATTTTTGTCAGAGAATTTTTGGACTGAATGTCCCTCGACTCCCAGAATGTATTTTATGGTTAATAGTCTGCTATATATTAGCATTACAGAATGCTAAGTTTACAATGATAAAACTGCTGTTCAGTTTTCATTTTCTGTCCAAAGATGAACTCTTACAGTTCCTTATAGTGATAAATTAACTGGTGTAAATTAATACATATTAATACATATTATAGTTAGCACTATAATAATTCAGGTTAAATTGTATCTTGTAAAATGAGGTAACAAATTTGTGTATATGTGTCTAAAACTGGAAAGTATTATTTTCAAGTTAAGTAGGTGAATATAAGAAAGATCAGTTCTCTAACTTTGTCTACCTAAGCTTACTGAAGGATGTGACAATATTTATTTGCATATATATTTAACAGGTACCAAAAATTGTGTATAACTTATTTTTGTCTCTAAGGTTTCAGGTAATAGAATACTTACTACTTCAGCATCAAAACTACTTGAGTTTGAATTTGTGACATTAATTTAATCTCCTTTGATCTGAGTTTATTAATTAAACTTCAAATTCGCTAAATATGTATACTTAATTTTCTTAATAATCTTAAAGAATACATGGTTTTTTAAATATTTTTCAAGCCATATTTATATTATTATCTCAGCCTTTACCCAAAGAATTGCTCTTTTTTTTTTTAAGATTTATTTATTTATGCACACAGAACTGGGGAACAGGCCAGAGGTGCAGGTGCGGTGAGAGGATTCACCAGAGACAGAGTGGGGAGCAGAACAGACTAACTAATGGAGTACCCTGCTGAGGGGAGCAGCGGGCGGGTCAGGGGAGCTTTGCTGAGCCATGTGGGTCACCTCCGGGGCCAGGATCAAACTCGGTGAAGTGGCTTTAGCTTCTTAGTGCTGTGCTTTAACCCACTGCGCCATCAGGGAGGGCCCAAGAATTACTCATTCTTTGCAACCTCTTTCCCATAAATCTTTCGGTGGCCAATATCTAAAAAAATAACTCAAATAATTTTGCAGATGTCTAGCTCAAATTATGTCAACTGTAATCAGAATTGGGGAAAACTGAATTTTAATCTTATTTTTCTTAATTTTCCTTTTATTCATTTATTTATTTATTTTTGCATTTTGAAAGTATATGATCCCCTTGGGTTGTTGTTACCACACCACACCCACCATCAGAGTAACCACAGTTCTTTGTGCTCCCCACCCCTTTGTTCTCATTCCTCTCTGTAAATTCTCCATGTTTATAAGGAAAAACCACTATCAGTGATGTCATGATTTCTCTTACTATGCAGCACACACTGTGTAGGCCAAGGACCTCATAATGAATTCTCTATAGCGTAAACTGAGGATGTCTATCTGGAATCAAAATAAGATTGGAGACGTGTTTTGACCCTGAAGAGACCTGAAATATCATTTAATCAGTTAAGAAAACAAAGAGAAGTGAAGACTATCCCAGAGATTATGTGGCTTTAGTTAACTAATTTAGTGACATGTAACGCAAAGCCTGGTGTTCAGGTGTAAAAGGTCTAAGGATTGTAACATACTGAGGAAGCTTTTGGCACAGGGAAGCCAATCACAAAAAGGAAGGAAGAGTATTCTGAAAACAACTCAACAGCTTTAGTTTTACAAATACTGTTTACCTACAACATTGATTCCCAACTGGGCTATTCACTATTCCCTAGATAATGCTTGGGGTTTTTTCTGTTCCTATGTCTGCTTCAAATTCTACTTTCATGCGGAATTTCAGATGTTAACCCTTAAAGCTTATCCCAATCATTCTTTGATTCTAATTATAATAGCCAGCTAATTTTTTTTTTTTTAATCTGTTCTCCCTCTGGCCCAGAATCCTCCAGTGAAAGGTCAAGTCCTCACCTTGTTAAACAAAGGCCTGCGGGAGATGGCCATACCCCTCTTCATTTCTGTCTCCCCCTCTCCCCCTGGAAACTTACTAAGACAATTGCATTCACTCTGGTACTCTAGTTGCTGGTCAGATAGCACTTCATGAGGGTAGTTTGTTCCCCTGAACTCCAGCTAAATGACAACTCCTCACAGCTCTCCTTCCCCTGGTTTTTCTCCATGTGGGGTGTAGTGTTTGTTGATGTGTCTCTTCCATGCTCATCACCCCCAATGCTTTCCATACTGTGACTTGGGTGGCCATTAATTAGGGCGGCTCTAGTGCCAGCTTTTCTTTGGGTCTGCTGGGATTGTGAGTTCACATGGAGCAAGATTTTTTTTTCTCAAGTCTTCTCACCCCCATAAGACTGAGGAAAAAGACTTAGTTTTGTAAACAGTGCCTGGCATATATAGTACATGTTTTCATAGTTGCATTGAATGAATGCAAAGTTGGATATTTCCAGATTTCCAGTTTAGTTCCTTGTCTGGGTATGGACTCACCTTACTGTCTTCAAATGTGGTCACCTATGCCCTAAGCAATGGAAAGTGCTATTAACATAGATGCTCTATATATATGTTAATAGAAGCTGTAATGTTAATTGCTTGCTGGGGGTGGGGGTGGACAGTTAGCATTTGGTTACTTGGAGCAATTCTTCTGGGAAGAATTTGGAAGTTATTTTCAAAGAAGCCAAAAAAGACTTGAAAAAAAAAATCTTGCTCTATGTGAACTCACAATCCCAGCATAACCAAAGAAGAGCTAGCATTTTTCTTTGCCCTAATTAACGGCCACCCAAGTCACTGTATGGGAAGCATTGGGGATATAGAAAATTTAAGTGAAACTTAACCTCCAGACTCTCACTGTCAAGATGATGCACATAAGTAACTGCAATACTTGCTGTGACATGGTCATGGCCACCTAAGGGGTTCCTGGTACTGCCTTAGTGCAGATACAGCTTTTTGGGAGGAAAGCTTTTAACCTGAGACCTTCAGGTAAGATTTGCACATACAGAGTATGCATTCTAGAATCCTGGCAGAAGAAAGATTTAAAGCAAGAGATTGGATTTGGTAAATGCATAAGAAATAGCGACTAATCCTATGTAGCTGAAAGGTACACTTGTAAAGAATAGTAAAGGGTAAAAAATAAAGATAATTTGGAGCCAAAACAGACGTTAAAGTGCCAGAGTGTAGGAAGTAACAGGTAACTCCAAGTTTCTGGCCAGGAAACATCATCATCCTGTACCTTAAGATAATTAACCTTGTATCTATGAAAAAAACAATCTGCATGGAAAATGCTGGCATCAATGGGTCGTGCAGTAATCCAGCCAAAATAGAATCTGAGAGATCTGGACAAGTCCTATGGAGTAGCCATAGGAACAGATAGGAAAACGTGAACAATACTGTGGAGAAAACAAGAGCAGCTTGTTTTCAAGCAAGGACTTGAAGCGAAACAAGAGTGGCAGTGTTAATAGATTAAGTTTTTGAACCTGGATAGCCTCCTGGTAGAAATAGAACATCCAGGAGTGGAAAAGCATGCTTGAAAGGAATTTCGAATAAGCATCACATGAGATTCCAAAAGGTGTCTACTCGGTGTGGGGGATTTATGGAAGGCTTCCACAAAGAAATGACCGGTGAAATTGAGTGCCACAAAGTGTTTAGAGAACAGGTTATAAAGATGTATATGCCTGTATTAAAGATTCTTGTGGTCATTGAAGGTCAAGAAGAAAGCCAGAAAAAGTGAAAAATACAGTGAAATGTAATGGACTGTAAGTGCAGAAATATTAAGCTTATATGTATTTGACTTCTTGTTCATCCTAAATCATCATGGATTAGAATATCAGAAGTGAAGAGACTCAGTAGAACAGCTTCCACAAAATAAATAAATGGAGTAACTATGAAGAATGTACAAATTACACTGTCTTAAAATAATTCACCTTTTCCTTGCCATACACATTAGAAAGACGGGGTTCCGAGGTACTTCCTTTCTCAAGCCCTTTCAGAACAAGGAATGAGCTGTCATTTTTACTTCCTAACAACATTGGTAGAATACTTACAGCCTAATCAGGAATGCATAAAAGACTGCACGAGGTATGTAAATTTAAGTATACATTACATATATGTGCACACATCCATCATGTTATGCATACATGAAAGCAAAGCCGAGATCTACTGCAGAAGTGTGAATCGTGAATAATCTTGAAACCATAGTATTCCTTGGGTCGGGTTATAAAAACGAAAAGGAATCTATACTTCTGGCCCTCACTTTTTTTTTGTTACTTCCAACCATATTCAGCAGACGTTGCGCGCAGCGTGTGGTGAATGGACAACACAGAAGTGTGTTCTTATATACAGTAACCACAACGTGGAAAGAACAGGTCTTCGCATCGAATACATTTGGGCGGGGGGGGGGGGAGTCTCGGTTTTAAAATAAAAGGAACCTCTGACCTTTTGTCGTCGCACCAGTATCGACTTGAAACCCGATTCTCCTTTATCAAAGTCTACTTTCAGTTTAGTGCATTTAAATGTGTTCAAGGACGATTTCGTCTTATTGTCACCTCGCCTGGAGCTCTAATCGATACTTTGCCCAATAAAACCGTAGCAGTCCATCGTGAGCGTAAACTCCATCTTCTGCCTCCCCGAGCTCTTCAGTTCCTCAGTTCGGTTTCGAAGGAAGGGTCCCCCTTTCTACCGCCCTCGGCAGCCCCCTCCTTCCTCGGCGTGCTCAGCCTTCTCCTTAACCCCTCTGGTCTAGGTCCAGCGCCGCCAACCACAGCGACTCGGAGGAGCCTCCGGGGCGGGAGGGGGTGCAGGGGGGAGGGTAGGGAAGGGCGCCAAATCTCACCCGGTTAAATTGGGAGAGGGGGATTGCGCAAAACCCACTGCGAGGTCTGGAGCGCCCCGAGAGCACGGGCCAAGGGCGTGGGCTCAGCCCGCACGCTCTGGCCGCCTCCACCTCCATTCTCCAGTCGCTCCCCGCCTCTCCCCACCCTCCGAGGGGCGTTGGTACATTCCCGCTGACTCCGAGAGCTTAAAAAGGGCCGGGAAGGCTGAACCCTGTAGGTTAGAACCTGATTACAGTCCGCGGCGAGTGAGTCCCGCCAGCCGGAGTCCACCACGCTGCCTGGGCCAAGGGCTCCCGATATCTCGGAGTGGGTTTCTCCACGCCGTTGACACCCGAGTATCTGGGGGTTGGTGTGTGCGCCCCTGTGTAGCTGGCGGCTAGGGTCCCCCGCCTCTCCAAGTCCTCCGCCTGCCCAGCGCCCTGCAGCGCAGCCAGCTCCACTAGGGATGGAGCCGACCGAGGTGCTGAAGCCACGGACCCTGGACGATCTGATCCGCATCCTGCACCAGCTCTTCGCCAACGATGAGGTCAACGTGGAGGAGGTGCAGGCCGTCATGGAAGCTTACGAGAGCCAGCCCGCCGAGTGGGCCAAGTACGCCAAGTTCGACCAATACAGGTGAGCGCGCACCCCCTGCCTACGCAGGACCCCCAGCTCCCTGGAGCCCCGGGGTAGGGGCGAGGGGGACGTCTGGCTCCGGAAAAGCGCGCCCACCCTCCTTGGGGTCTGCATCCCTTAGAGCACCCCCAGTGGTACGCTAACTCGCCCACGGGCGGCGCGGCTGGAGCTCCGCGCTGTGGCAGGTGGTGATTCCTACTGACCTTGCTGTGGGCCGCTGGTCGCGACACGCACACTCCCAGCGGGGCCTCTCTGTTCCATCTGATCGATCCCTCGGCTTCCAAACCGCCCCGCCTTCCGCCCCCGAGCGATGTCCGCTGCCAGGGAGCGCGCGGCTAGGGTGGATGCACTGATTACCCCGCCCGCGGCCCTCAGGAAGGTCTGGCTGCACGCAGCTGAGGGTGCTCCGGCCAGGGAACCGCAGCAGCCAGCCCGGGAAAGGGGTGGAGGGGGCGGGCTTCTTTCCCCACGCCAGGGCTCTGGCACTTAGCCCAGGGTCCCTGGCAAGCAGGCATGCGGCCAACGGGGTTTTTGCTAATCTAAATTAGCGCTTTGAGGTTTTCAGCTGCTTTTTTTTTTTTTTTTTTCAATTTATGCTGCTCCCCCTCCCAAACCAATTTAAGATCCGGGGCTGCAGATTTATTTAAACACGCTGGCTGATTCGCCAAGTAAAATTCTGCCTCTCTGTTAGCCCCCCAGCTAGTGTGATTTCTCTCATCCTTGGTTTCCAGGATCTGGAATGCTTGCAAGAGGTGCGTGAGCGAGGGTGGGTGATTAAGTAAAAATTAATGTCCCTGCCAGCGCTCGAAGGCAGAAGAAAAATGTGATCTCCCTGAAAGATGAAGGGGTCTTTTCCATAGGGCAGCTTGCAGTGATTGGTTTGGGTTGAGTGCAGAGAACGATAGTTGAAAGAAAAAAATAAAGACTTGTTTTCTTTGGGACCAGTTTCTGGGAATGATCTGCCTCAAATATACTGTGTTCGTCAAGTTTTGCCACAAGAGTTAATTACACTTCAGAATTTGAAATTAATAAGTGAAGCCTTATTTCGAATCTCATTTTCCACTTGCATATGTCTCTGGGACTTTCCTTAGTTTCCTGTCACCTCATGGCAAGGTCCTTCTCTGTGGCTGTGTAAAAAGTTGCCAGAGTTTAACTTTCACTCAAGCTGAGATCCAGGTAATTGAAGACAGGTGATAAGCCGGGTCCTCTTCCAATCACTTTACACAAGTATTAATAATTCATTAATTAACCTAGCTCTCTGAGATAGGTATCACTCTTACCCTATATCTACACAAGGAATGACGGGTAATAAAAAGACTTTTACGCTCATAATATGTCTTCTATCATGCTCATAATATGTCTTCTATCAAGAAGCAGCTCTGGGACTCAGGTTAGCAGTATTGTTCGAGTACCCACACTCTAAAACTCCACTGAATTTCCTGCACTATATGGTTCCAGTTTTCAAGAACCAACCAACTGAACAGACCTAGTACATAGGCATCTGTAGGGTAACTTGTTAGGAAAATGGATGCAGTTCTGTGTGGATAGCTGCAAAAGTGGGAGGGAGGGGACTGGAAGAGCAGGAATCAATTTTTATATTTGGGGCCAGAGTAAGTTTTCAAATACTGTAGAGGATTCTGGGCAGGCCAGTGCCAAAGAACCCAGACAAATGTTCCAGTCTGGGCCACAGAAGGATAAATTCGCTGAAGAAGCCCCAAAGAAGAAAGAGGGGGTGACCTTGGGAGAAATAGGTTTCTGATACAGGGACTGAGTTAAGGATGTGTGTGCAGCCCTCTGCTAAGTCACAAAGGGCTACAAAGCTAAAAGCAAAAGCACTTGCTCATCAAATCCCTTAGGGATCCTGAACCAGACTGGGAACTAGAGGAAGGGCTCCAGAGACTTCAGGTAAACAGATGACCACAGGCACAAACATTAGCCACCAAGTGGGGCCAACATTCCTTTCTTTTGAAATGAGTCTACAGTGAAGGTCCTCATTATCAATTAGGTGATTGACAGTTGTCAAATGGATGATAAGATGGTGTGAGTAGATCCTTTGGGAACAATATGAACTTTAAAGTGGGTTTTTGTTTTGTTTTGCTCTGTTTTTGATCGTTATTGTTTTGGGGTTTTGTCAATTATTGGTTTTTCTTCTTGCAAACTTTTAGATTGTTACTTACTTCCCTGAAGTAGTCTTTGTTCTGGTACTTAGGTCAACCCCCCTCTCTGGTTGTGAAGGACTTTTCTTTATGGTTACTTTTGAGTATGATTTTGTGTCTTTGTGAGTTATTAATAAAGCCACTGAGAGTTCTAAAACGTTTACTTCATGAAACCTTGTTTCTCAAGCTTAGCTACAGGAAGGAATACAACAATAGCAATATTCTTGCTATGCACTTCTGTGAAAATCTTATTCTTTTTATCAGTTTGAAGCTGTCACAAAGGAGTTTGCTTTTTCCTATTTCCTTTTCCATGCTATTTATTAAAAGTAAGCCATTGTCGTTAGGTGGTTCACAATACAAAAATATCCTAAGTAAACCGTAAAAATAGATTTCATTTGTACTAGATTTCTGATTGCAAACCAGATTCAGATTTGCCCAGAAATAGAAATACTAACATCTGCCAAGAAATGATACTTTCTGACATTTATTTTTTACCCAGGCCTGCTTCCATCAACCAAATTCAAACTTCTGGATATATTTACAGGTACACCCGAAATCTTGTGGATCAAGGAAATGGGAAATTCAATCTAATGATCCTATGTTGGGGAGAAGGACATGGCAGGTAATACAAATTTTAGAGTAAATTTTAGAGGTGTCTATTCGAGTGTACAAAAAGCACTACTCCAGTCTGGCAAGTCTTGCAAGTGGGAATAAATCGCATTTTATAATTATTTGTCCACCAAATACCCTAATCCTAACATATTCTCATGACAATTGATATGAGGGGTTTAGGCATACCCCTTTATCAAAATCAGCCCCAAAGTGAGGAGTAAATTGGAAGGAAATCAGTAACCAGTTTAATCTAAGCTCACTTTGTCTCCTATGGAGTTAAACTCTATAATGAAAGTGTGCTAAAATAGGACCTCTGTGGTGCTTTGAACTGTGTAAACACTAGGACCAGAGACCAAAGCCTCCATATTTGGCACTAGCAAAGCAACACACAAATCCAGAAAAATTCTTTCTGCCTCGTGTTAATGGTTTACTTTTTTTTATGCAGGAAGCAAGGCAACTTAAACTAAAACCAATGCTTTGAAATTTCAACATTTTATTTGTTCTTAGTTGACACTTGCCAGTTTTCTTACCCAAATGAGCGTTGTTATATTAAACAACTCCTTATCAGACTTTTCAGACGGGTGAAAACAATAATCCAGACCCATTTTTTAAAAGATTTATTTATTTATGTATATAGAACTGGGGTACAGGCCAGAGGTGCAGGAGCGGTGAGAGGCTTCACCAGAGAGAGAGTGGGGAGCAGAACAGGCAGATCGACAAAGTACACTGCTGAGGGGAGCAGCTGGCGGGTCAGGAGAGGTCTGCCTCACCATGTGGGTCACCTCTGGGGTGGGGATCGAACTCATGCTGAAGTGGCTTTAGCTTCTTAGTGCTGTGCTTTAACCTGCTGTACCACCAGGGAGGGCCCAGACCCATTTTTAATGAATGAGAGAAGGATAACTTTATATAGACTTTGGAAAGTTCTGTCTATAGAATACATTTATGTACTTGGATGGAATGGAGTTCCTTTCATCCTCTCAATATTTTTTGAGGATAGTTTATATTTCAGGGTAGGACTAGGCCCTGTGGATTTGGGAAAGAAGTTCTTATGGTATTTAGTATGATTAATAGAAGTCAGTAGGTGAAATAAATGCCATCAGGATATACAGGTTTATATTTTTTAATCAACCCTATAGCTAATACTACTTAATATGTTTAAGTTCTATTCCCTCTATGATTACATTAATAAATCCTTTCTGCAAATCTAATTTACTTTCTTTTACCCACACTGTTGGGAGCTAATGACAGACTGGATATTGTAAATCTACAAGATGTTAAAATTATACTTTGCAGCATAATTTTTGGGTGGTAACTTGAATACAAATACCTTGTATTTCCCCCAGAGAAGAAAAAAGAACAAACCTGGAGAATGAAACACTAGATTTTTTTTTTTAATTTTACAGAAGTTTATTTTTACATCATTTTGTACATTTTTTTTTCCATCTCAATTGTAATCCCCGCGGTGAAACACTAGATATTAAGTGACCTTGCCATAAGGCAATTCTTACAGATGATTATCCTTTCTAAAATTTGTCAAATGTAATTTGAAAAACAAATTTCTGGCCTAGTTTAATTCAGCTATTCAAAGCTCTGTCTTATAGAAGACAAAAGTTTGAGTTTAGCAAACTGTTCTTATGCCTCTCTATGAAGACGTTTTATTACTTTGCCCTGAACAATGTTGAATTGCAAACTGACATTTAAAAATCCACTTGAATCTGGACTGGCCCAGGAGCTGACAGGTGGTGGGCAGCTGAAAGCACTGTGAAGAGAATTAGTATATCTCTAGATACCGGAGCATCTACTGAGTTCTGTTGTTGTTTTGCTACATATAGCAGTATCCACGATCACACCGACTCCCACTGCTTTCTGAAGATGCTGCAGGGAAATCTAAAGGAGACATTATTTGCCTGGCCTGACAAAAAATCCAGTGAGATGACCAAGAAGTCTGAAAGAGTCTTGCGAGAAAACCAATGTGGCTACATCAATGGTAACATCTGATGTATTTTTCTAAGAGCACATTATTCCTGTTTGAAATGTTGGTTCCTCATACTCATGGAGTCAAAGTTGGTTCATAGAGGCATGGTTTCAGATACTTGGGAAATGATTAGAAGCTGTGGGTTTTAGCTTTTAAGACTTTAAATTTGGATAGGAATCATTTATTGAAAACATATGCTTGCAGATGAATTCTCACTGCAAATCCTCATAGCTGCCAAGTCTTTATATGCTGGAATCGAATATGCCTTTATATGAGTAGTCTTCAGAAAGGAGTGAGGTCTAGTTGGAAAATGTAAAGGCATGTTCTGGAAGTAATTGAGAGTGCTTGCTAGTCTGGAAGTAATTAAGAATGGCAGCCTGCACACAGCACATTTTCAAGAGTATGCGCAAAGTAAATATTACGAAGCACGTTTTCCACAGTGATTTATATATATCTTATAGAAAGAATTCACTCTTTCCTCTAAATTTAATATCAGAGAGCCAGATGCTTTTCAGGCAATCGGAGATTTTTAATGTTTGTATTCTGAAAAAGATCAGTAAAACTTTTCAAAAGGCTCCTTAAAGGCAAGTTTTTATTTCCATTGGCAGATGAATTTACCAATACATAGGAAGGTTTAAAAACTAGGTCAGGGTCACTCAACTTTTAAATGACACCCAAGATTTCATCCCAGGCAATTTAATTCCAAAGTCCTTGCTCTTAATTGGGCTACTCTCCCACTTAAGTAATATATTAGAGCTTTATCTGGCAAATCCACTCCTTCTTAAAGTCCACTGGTGGCTTTTATGCTCAGCTTGAATCTGATTAGTAGTTTAAGAATGCAAGTCCCTTACACAGGACAGATTTATAGGATCTTCCTCCCCACCCCCATTCACTTAACCCAAAGATGTGGGTTTTTTGTGTAGAAGGAAATTCTTGTATCTCTAAGCTCAGAAGTTACCAATTTTCAGCTTTAAGTTTTACAGATGCAGTAATCAAGGTGGAAATGAATGATGATCAGAGGAAAGATATTTCGAGTATAGGGAAGAACATTGGTGAAGACATTCATTACAAAGAATAAAAAATGGTTCAGGAAGGGTGTTAACTGGGACAAAAAAAAAAAAAAAAAAAGGAAGTCTAGAACAGGGGTGAGAGAGTAAAGAGATCAGAACCTCCAGGACCTGCTTAAGTTTAGAACTTGCTTTGGTCAACAGAGTTATATTTGGCAATTTCTTGATCGAGTGATGTTTGGTAGCAGAATGCAAAATAGGATGGAGGAAGAGAGGATTGAGGCAAAGAGCCAGTTACCTATTGGAATAGGCAAAAGGTAGATCAATGAGTCTAGACCAAATTGACATCTGTACGTGTCCCCAGGACAGGCCCAATATTCTGTGACACCATGGGAATAAAGGAGAGGAGACAAAAAGCAAAGCACAGTAATAAATTTGGCATGATTAACACATCTTGGGGTTTTCACTAAAGAATGGGTGACTTATTTTTATGGGATCTGTGCTTGCATTAGATGGTATATACAACTGCATTTGGAACAACAGGCAATTATTGGTATAAAGAGTTTTTGACCCTTAGGAATGTTGAACTATTTTTGTTCAAACTGGTGATTAAGCCAGTATATAATCAAAGCCATAAACTATGAGACTGGAGAGTTAACAGGTCTGAGAATTAGGCCTCAATCTTAGAAACAGGAAAATTGAAGATCCTGAAAGTGGAGGCTTGTTCAAAGGTGGTCTTGTCAGTCTCTCTCGCTAGGAGTAGAGCTTAAATCTGCTTCTAGGCTTTGTTCTTCTTTATGCTGAATCCAGACCATAAAGCCTTAAGGCCAAGTCAGGCACCTGCATTAATTACACTCACTACACTGAATTCTTTTCTTGAATAATCCTCAGACTCCTCTAACTGTAAAAATTTCTTCCCAGCATTTAAAAATCAATGATTATTTTCCACCTTTCACTCATTTTACCACCTTGAGGACCTCTCCCACCCCTGCCCCACCCCTAGCAGAGGCCTTTTTCAGGATGGATCTGCTGGGGTCTTGCCCAGGGCTAAGCTGTCACCCCAGGACCTACCCCGCCCCCTACCCCCCAAGTCTTTCTGGCTCTCCCTTTGCCATCTCCTTTCTCCTGTGCTGATCCCATTTCCTGATCTCTTGTTTGCTTTGTTCTTGATCCATGTCCTTGTTTTGGTGACACAAAGTCTACATTCAGGGATAGTGAGTCTTTGAGACTTCATATCTGAAAGTCCGGATTCATCCTTTGTAATGTGGATGGTGATTTCTCTGGGTATGGATTTAAGACCTGGCCCTCATCTCTAAGAACTGTGAAGGTCATCCTTGTCTTCTAGAGTCTGGGCTTGTTGAAAGCTGATGCCATGCTGAGTCTTTGGGTGTTGTTTTATGTCTTGTTTCTTAGCTTTTGGGAGGATCTAGAGGTTTTTTGCTTGTTTTTATTGTGATTCTTGAATTTTTCTGTGAAGCCTACTTTCTTGCTAGAAGCTTTGGGGGGTCTTCTCTTTTCATATTTCTTCTTTTATTTCATAACTCTCATTACTTTGCTGGTTCCTCAGTGGATTTTTTCAAATTGGAAATTCATATCCTTTGGCTAAGAAAATATGCTCAGGTTATTCTTTTATTAATTTTTGGTCCTATTATGGAAACATCTGTTGTTCAGATATTAAACTTCTTGAACTAGTCTCTGATTTTTTTTTTCTTCTTGGTTTTTTCCTTGTCAGTTTGTTCTTTGGATTTTCCTCAGGTTTTTCTTCTAACTCTTCTATTCCAGTTCTTATTCTTACCAGACTTTTATTTCCATTTGATTTAATTTTAACTTTTTGTTTCTTAATTTTTCCTGCAACCTTTTTGGTAGTATTTTATCTCTCTGAAGTAGTAAAGTTTTTTCTTGTATCACATTCTCCCTAGTTTTTGTGTTGTTGTTGTTTGGGGTTGCTTTTCTATGCTAGAAGCTTTGCTCAAAGTCTGGTGTCCTTGACTGTTTGCTAATATTTAAAAATCAGGGACAAAAAAGTTAATTGGTAGCTCTGGACGTGTGGCTGGTGTTTGTGAACTGGACTTCACCTGGGGTGAGCTGCTAGAGCTTTTTCCTTGAGGGACAGCCAATGACAGTATCTAGGGTGACTCTTCTTGTGGGCCTATCAGATTTCTAGGAGAAGCTGCTTCCTATCTCTAGCCAGGAGAAAAGAAAATCCTGTCAGGCAACATTCTGACAATCTAGATGGTGAAGAAAGTAGAGATCATAATCATTCAGAGTGTAAATTTTTTCTCTCTCTTTTTTTTAACTTGGTGTCCACTGGTCCTAAATTTATTATTATTATCTTTCTAGAGATTAGATCTCCGCCTAGGAGGATGGGGGACAGAGAGTGGACAGAAAAGTGCTAAGGAGGTTTGAGATTCTTCTTCTAAAATAGTGCTTGTGTTTTTTCACTCACCTTCACCCTCATTTCCTGTCCTGCCAATATCCAAGTCGTTTGGGACTTTCAAAATATGAGTCAAAACTGTTCCTACTGTTGACTGAGGGGTCAGCTCTCTCTTTGCAAAACCATCCATCTACTGTGTAGCTTTGACGTGTTTCTCAATGTGTTCTCCTTTCCTATTTTCTTTGCATCTGTACATTTGCATTTTTTTGTCGTCTTACTGCCATTGTAGAGGGCTTGAGGAAAGAACTCAGGCCATGCCACTCTTTTTAACAAAACTTCAATTCTATCTCATTTCTTAAAAAAAAAAAAAAAAAGACTTTACTTATTTGTGCAGACAAGAACTGAAGTATAGGCCAGAGGTAGGGAATAAGAGGATTTCCCAGAGACAGAGTGAGAAACAGAACAAGCAGATAGACTGAAACACACTGCTGAGGGGAGTAGTGGGCAAGACAGGAGAGGTCTGCTGTGCCATGTGGGTCAGCTCCCTGGCCGGGGCTCGAACTCATGCTTCAGTGGCTGCTAATAGCTTCATAATGCTGAGATTTAACCCCGTGCATCACCTCCAGGGAGACCCAGTTCTAAGTGATTTCTATTCATTCCATATGACACAGTGTTTATCAACAGCCTTGATGTGTTCTCCCCTCCTGGCTATTGTTTAGATTCCATTGGTTTACACCGAGTGGAGAACATCAGCCACACAGAACCTGCTGTCAGCCTTCACTTATACAGCCCACCTTTTGATACGTGCCATGCCTTTGATCAAAGAACAGGACATAAAAATAAAGTCACCATGACATTCCACAGCAAATTTGGAATGAGAACTCCATTTGTAAGTATAATTTCTTCTCCTGGGTTTAAATGTCTCCTATGTTTAATCAGGGCTGGCAACTTCACATTGTCTCCATTGCTTATTTTGCCCTAAATATTACTTGAATGTCATCTCATTGAAAAAATGAGATGAACCTTAACTTGGAGGGAAAGTATTTCCCAATTTTTTAACTTTGAAAACCATGTTTTCAATTTACATACAAAAAAAATCTTCAACTTGATGCGAAGAATTGTTTATTGAGAAACTTTAAAATATATGGTCATTTCTACAGAAAATGTTTTCTCTTTAATTATCAAGAAGAGTGAAAACTATTATTTCGTGTATCTGCTGCTGCTATGACAATGTTCATACAGTTTGCCGGGACCTCACAAATAACTGACTTCATCAACCTTTGCGAAACTGAGACCTGGGTTTTGGTGATACAATCATAGAAATTTGCCTGTTTGGACAACCAAGTTGCTTTTTCTCTAAATAGTCATCCACTTACACCACAAAGAAATGAGAGTAAGCTGGAATCACATACTTCCCTTTGAGGAACAAGTGTGTCCACCTAAAATGAATACGGCTACATTAACCCAGCATGGTTGAAATAAATCAACCATTATTGAAGGGCGTGGACCTTAGTAACAGCTCTGTCTGGACAACAGACCATAAATGGAAACAAGCCTTATGAGTTTTAGAAGTACAGTCTGCTCAAAGGCAGGATAGAATTCTATGAAGCTAGTGCCTTGCATTCTTGTGTGCATTCTGATCCCCAGGAGATACTGTTATCGTGGAAACAAGATACCAGGGCTCCATTGGCCATAGCTAAGTTTCATACCCTGCTAGAAAAGGCGACTGGTGACAACGGACAGCAGTCTCCAGTAGATGTTCTCACACCGCTTTCTTTCCTTCTTCCCTGCAGACAACGTCAGGGTCCCTGGAGAACAACTAAGGAGCACCGACTGACCCCTCCGAGGTTTTCAAAGCCGCTGAAAGTTTTGCCCTGGTCAAGAAGGCCTCCCATCGTTTGCTGTCCAGTAATACACTTTAAAATGTCAATGCTTAGATCAGTTAGAAGGCAAATGCTAGTTAGAAGGCTTTAAGTAAGCGAATAGTTGCTTGAGCTACTACAGGAGAAAAATCCCACTAATGGACAAGGGGGAAAGGTTTGTGATTTTAAAGGCCAAATCAAGTGCTTTTCTGGTTTTAGACTTTAAATCTGTCGGAAGTATCCTGGCGATGTTGAGAAGGTTTGCTAGCTTTTGGGAAACACTTGGTCGCTGAGCTATCATTAGCAATAGGTAAGTGCAGGCCGCACAGGCATCCAGTGTTTGCCGTCTGTCTTGCAGAACTACGTTGTAGGTCCCTAATATGCTTTGAATCTTCTTACTAGTGGAAAAGACTTTTTTCAATCTTATTTTACAAATCCCTCTTCTGTAAAGAATAAGCTTTTGTAGATAGAGAAACTTTAGGCACTTTGCCATTTGATAATGCAATGAAGGGCAGAGAATTTAGAAAATACATGTACTCACACCCGTCAGAAGCCAAAAATACGAAATCTTGTCTAAGGTGTCCAGGGGCCATACTTGTGCACTTTGTACTGCTAAAGAAATTCCCAGATAATTTTAATAAAACTGAATTTGAACACAATTTGGAGTTGTCTTTCTGTTTAATGTGTTTCAAGTTTCCTCTAGTTCAGTTTCTGGTACTTGTGTAGACTACCAGAAGCACTGTAAATGATACTTTTATGGTATAAGAATACAAGAGGGGCCCTCCCTGGTAGCGCAATGGGTTAGGACACAGAACTGCCAGTGAGCTGCATCAGCTTGAGTGCTAGTTCGATCTCCCACCCCAGAGGTGACCACATGGTGCTGCTGACCTCTCCTGACCCGCCCGCTGCTCCCCTCAGCAGTGTACTTCATTGATCTGCCTGTCCTGCTCCCACTCTGTCTCTGGTGAATCCTCTCACCACCCTGCACCTCTGGCTTGTACCCCAGTTCTGTATGCATAAATAAATAAATCTTTTTTTAAAAAAAAGAGAGAGAGAGAATACAAGAGGGTCAAAAAAAAAAAAAAAGCCTGACTGGGTTGGCCTGCCCTGCCTGAGTGCCATGATTAGTCCTGTTCTCAAATGTCCGTCAGTGTGAGTGAGGGAGCTGGCTTGCTTCTTGAGGATCTCAGCGCTGATGGGGGTTGCTCTGAGGTGTCTGCACACACAGGCAGTGATGCCATCCGGGGTTCAAGTGAAGCTTGTGAAGGGCAGTGACCAGGGAGTGCTGGAATTGAGTTGGCTACTCAAGGATGAAGGGATGTCAAGAAGGTAAGGACCTGAGCCCTGTGAGGAGCCGATGGAAGGCAGAACTGGTGGGACACCATGCTCTGCCTCTCTGCCTTAGCACTCGCTTCCTCCCCTCACCAAGAGTATTTACTCTTCCCTCTGCCTAGATGTCCCTCTCCCAGCTCTTGACACTGCTTATACTTCTTGCCCTTAGGATGTCAACACAAATACCACCTCCCCTCAAATACCATCTTCACCAACCAAAAGCCAAATCCAGGCCTTCCACCCAATATCTGAAACACTTGAAATGTGAAAAGTACATCACCTCCTTTTTCCACTCCCTTATCTTCTAAGTGTATAGGATGGGAGCCCGTGAGCATAGACGCAACGTTGCATTGATTGCTGCATCCCGAGCAGTTCCGCTGTACATGACCCTCAGAGGTGGTCAATGCATATTTATGCAATGAAGTGAACCTCAACCTCCTTATGTAATAATTTTCTGTTTACATACCCTGAAAGATATAGCTATGGTCTTTCAGTGTGTTACCAAAGCAGTTTTGCCATGTGATTTTTATTAATTTTGGAGATACAAAGATCATCTCTACGTCCCAGCCGTCTTTGGTAAGGTCTATGCCAAAGGCTTGTCTAGCTGATCAATAAAATCTACATGTGCTTCATGGGAAGGAACAGCATTAAGAATCCCTCTCAGCAATGAGACTATCTTTTTATGTTTTTCTTCAGGGCCTCGCTGGTGGCACAGGGGTTAAGTTCTTAGTGCTATGGAGCTATTGCCAGCCACTGTGGCATGAGCTCAATCCCCAGCCAAGGAGGTGACCCATATGGCACAGCAGAAGACCTCTCCTATCTCACCCACTGCTCCCCTCAGCAGTGTACTTCGTCACTCTGCCTGTTCTGCTCCCCACTCTATCTCTGGTGAACACCCTACACCCCAGTTCCTGTATGCATAAATAAATTAAAATAAATCAAAAATAAATAAAATTTGCTTCAGCTCATAGACCTCTGAAAAGCTCCTGGTGCTAAAGAACTCTCCAGAAAGTCTACAAACACAAGACAAATCTGCAAACAATTTCAGAAAAAATTCCTGCATGGTCTGAAAGCTCTTAGGGCCCCCAGTTAAAGAATCCAGTGGTATGGGAAATGGTGGCTATTTCTCTTCATGTTCTGTTCTTGGAGGCCATTAGGCAGCCCAGCTATTCATTAACCTTTGAAAAGTTACGACAGGGTTTCTAGGAAACATCAGAGGCTGGTGCTATCCCACCCAGGGCACGTCCACACATTTCACAAGATCTGTTCTCTCTAAAGACAGAAACTACTTTCACAACCTTATGTATCCACTTGGTAGGTGTCTCCAAAAAGTGTTTATTAGGTAGTGAACTAAGAAGTCACAGGACAAATGCTGTATGGAGGCAATTCACAGAGGCAAAGTAAACATTATTAGATGCTGAGCAGAAGTGGGCTGGAAGTAATAGTTCAGTGGGTACAGAATTTCTGTGGGGAGTGGTGATAATAATTATTTCATTATCATATAAGTGGGCATGGTGGATATAGAGCATTGTGAGTGTATTTGAGGTCACTGAACTGTACATTTATAAAATATTCAAGTAAATACTAAGTATATATTCTCACAATAATACAGTTAACTTAAAAAATTGTGCAGGGGGCCCTCCCTGGTGGCACAAGGGGTTTAGAGGCAGCAAGCACTATGAAGCTGTCCGCACCTCTGCGACATAAATTCAAGCCCCTACCAGGTTGGTGACCCACATGGCACAGCAGACCTCTCCTGACACACCTGCTGCTCCCCTCAGCAGTGTACTTGGTTGATCTGCCTGTTCTGCTCCCCACTCTGACTCTAGTGAAGCCCTTAACATCCCTGCACCTCTGGCCTGCACTCCAGCTCTGTATTCATAATTAAGTAAATATTTTTTAAAAGATACAAATAGATCCTTCATTTTTTTGGTCTTAGTGACTGCAAGGTATTCCACAGTATGAAGGTAACTTGGATAGGATCGCCAACCTATTACCATAAAAATTCTACAGTAAGGGGCCCTCCCTGGTGGCGCAGTGGGTTAAAGCACAGCACTGAGAAGCTTAAACCACTTCCACATGAGTTCTATTCCCGCCTGCACCGGAGGTGACCACATGGCCCGGCAGACCTCTCCTGACCCGCCCGCTGCTCCCCTCAGCAGTGTACTTTGTTGATCTGCCTGTTCTGCTCCCCACTCTGTCCCTGGTGAATCCTCTCACCCTCTGCATCTCTGGCCTGTACCCTAGTTCTGTATAAATAAATAAATAAATATATTTTTTAAAAAATTCTACAGTAACCATGTACATAATATCATTTCACAAGTATCAGTTGACTTTTTTTTTTTTAAACAACCCAGATAACTCAAACCTAGAAGAAGGCCATACCAAGCTTCCCCTGGAGAGGACATCTTCACTCAATAGCTAGTTTGAGCACATGATGCGAATCATGCTGAGAAATCAGCTATGTCCTGATGTCACTGCTCTTCCATTTGGCCATTTCCTCTCTGCTCATTGATCCAGTGAGTTCACATGAAGCTTCCAGCACTGTCAGAAGCTCAGCATTCCAGGAGATTACTTATTATGGGCGGAAACCCATGTATTCTCAGAGAACTAATGATATTCCCATGGCCAATTTAGAGCCCGGCGCAAGGACAATAGGAGAGTCAGTGCATTCCTGATGTCTGCTTTTGTGATTATTACAAATAATAACAAAACCTGAGCTTTGTGCTAGGTTAGAAAAGATGTAAGTCTTTTTCTGAGGATTTATTTATTTATGCAATCAAGAACTGGGGTATAGGCCAGAGGTGCAGGGGGTGAGAGGATTCACCAGAGACAGAGTGGGGAGCAGAACAGGTAGTTCCGCTGAAATACACTGCTGAGGGGAGCAGCGGGTGGGTCAGGAGAGGTCTGCCGTGCCATGTGGGTCATCTCCCTGGCTGGGGATCGAAGTCCTGCTGCAGTGGCTGTGACTAACTACTAGGGTCATTATGCTGCACTATAACCCCTTGCATGACCAGAGAGGGCCCTGTGACAGTCTTTTCTAACATGCCTCACAGGTTGCTTAATGAGAATAATTTTATTTTTTTTCTTCAACTTTTTTTTTTAAATTGTATAATAGTTTGTGGAGTTGGGTTGTGCCTGTACAGGCTCTACATTTCCATGGAAACTGATATTCAGGAATTGTGCAAGCTGGTTGGTCGATTCAAGTGGGCCACAGTGGAGTATTTACATCATGGAAATCCACCAGTGTTATAGATCAGTGCTCACAGAGCCTGTTTTAAACATTTGTCAGCAGACCACTGCACCTTAGGCTATTCAACCAATTCAAAATATGTCCTGGACTATGTAAATATATCTTTCTTATCCTTTGACTTTTACTGGAGTTATCAATATTTAAATCATTAAAATAGGCCCTCCTTGTGGGAGGGTTAAAGTGCCACACTGCAAGCCAGCTGCAACTGCTTCAGTGAGAATTCAATCCCCGCCCAGAGGTGACCCATATGGCACAGCAGACCTTTCCTGTCTCACCCACTGCCCCCCTCAACAGTGTACCTCGTTGATCTGCCTGTTCTTCTCCCCACTCTGTCTCTGGTGAATCGTCTCACCACTCCTGAACCCCTGGCCTGCACCCCAGTTTTGTATGCATAAATAAATCAATCTTTGAAAAATGACTAAAATGGGCCCTTCCTTGTGGTGCAGCTGGTTAAAGCACAGCACTAAGAAACAAAAGCCACTTCAGCATGAGTTCGATCCCAGCACAGAAGGTGACCCACGTGGCACGGCAGACCTCTCCTGACCCGCCCGCTGCTCCCCTCAGCAGTGTACTTGGTTGATCTGCCTGTTCTGCTCCCCACTCTATCTCTGGTGAAGCCTCTCACCACTCCATGCCTCTGGCCTCTACCCCAGTTCTGTATGAATAAATAAACCTTTAAAAAAATTACTAAAATAAAAAAGTTTAAAGGCAAAAAAATGTAAGCACTTTTGTATGGCTGGATATATATATATTATTGTCACTTTGCTAAGTTTTTGAAGGTAAAACAGGAATGTTATTTCATTTTGTCCCCTTTCAGAGATGAGCATTTTTCAGGCACCTGGAGAAGAAATATTTTCTCCAGGAACACACAGCTAGCTAATGGAAAAACCAAAACATACATCACTTCTTCCCAGGACACATTGAACCTTTGGTGCAAGAGAAAAAGCATTAGCAGGGACAGAAAGTCAACAATGTGGGCAATGGGGTGGTAACTTGATGGCTTCCCCGCCAATGTCTGCCAACTGGTTCCTGACTTCACGTTAGAAAAAAACAACTTACAAGGTAGTC